TCCCTCGAGGAGGTGTGCAGTACTGCCCCTTAACAAAAGGTTGCTCAGTAATCCCGGAAGGCTACTGAATTCCGCTATGGATCACGACTTCGTTTGGTGAAGGACGACCCGAGTTAGCCTGGGCCTCCCCAGGGAATTGATCGTCTTCCTATCTGTAGAACATTTAAAAACTGGAAGGAATGAAGAGGGGATGATTTGCGATTACAATCACCGGGTGTGGGAACGCAGAAATCTTGAGAACCTCATCTGGTTTAGACCGCCGGTCGAGGCGGTTACCGAGGTGCGGCTGCTAGGCAGATCCTAGCTTCGGGGCCCTCAGGCAAGAGCTGTGTGTCAGTCAAGGGTCGCTCATGGAAACCATAACCTGAATAAGGCACATGACGCGACCTACAACCTCTACATAGTGTACCTCTAGCTGGACACACCCATCCCCCTGTGATCAGCATAAGGCGTGTTCAAATGCCTGGACGAAATGTAGTATGCATACCTACAAGAATGATGAAACCGGCGGTTTGGCCCTCATCCTCACGATTAATCGATATTTTTATTTTTGATTTGTGGATGACGCTTACTTAGTATTTTTAATCGTAACTCTAAGGATGTATCTGGATGGTTTTTCTTCAAAAGTACCGTACTACTTCATTTTAGTCAACTGACGTGTCCGTTGACATTACGCTAGCTGTTAAAACCGTGAACCCAGGTTTCGAGATGTCCAGGGTAATTGCCACATTTCCGTCATCGCCCCCCGGTGCGCAAAGGCATCACCTGCGCAGAATTGACGCTTGCAGCACGGTGACTCATCCCACTGCGTAACAAAGGGCCTCGCCTGTGCTATATTCGCGCACGTGTTTATCGCGTAGCGCATGCCGGATGCAGAAGTGCGGAAAATCAATCAGCCCTTACGGTGCCAGCGTCCTTACTGCCGAACTCGTGCACTCTCCGTACCCAACGCACTTTCAGCCTATAAGACGAACTTGTGCACCAGGACAGAACAAGACTGTTTATCCGACGAAATTGAGGTCGTATTTGCGAGCTACGATGTACCTGCCAAACAGGAACATGCGTGAACGCGCGGTATGGTGCGACGCAGTTGCTGGAGCCAACAAAAGCTATTGCTGTTGCAGCCTGACAGAGAACAGTGGAAGGATGAGGCAACCACAGATGTTTCCACTTTGCGAATATGACGAGAAGTGAGGGTTAAGGGAGATGTCGGCTAGATGCGCAACGGTGGATGGTGGGTAGGTAGGAGGAGCAAACAGTGCGTTATCGATATGACCTAGTGATTTAGCGGTGGTGGTGAACGCTGAAATGTGGCCTTCAGTTCGTGTAGTGGGCACCGAGGTCGACATGGCGATCGGTGCCAACGCCACTAGGCTCTGAAGTCGTGAAGACCTGTCACTAGAGTTTGTTGGAGGCCGCGTCGATAAATTCAGTCGTAGTCCAAGCAACGCGATGGAGGCTTTTCCTCGGTAATTCCACAAAAGTGGGAGTAGTCTACCCCCCTTCGTTACCGCCCACGTAGTCAGCTGCTGATGGCGAACTATCCTGATTATCTGTGGTTGGCGACTGTGGCGCCAACTTCCCGTTCATACACCACCACTAGTACAGATACTATTACTACTGTCAAGACCGTCACTAACTACTACTAATAACTACTACTACTACTACTACTACTACTACTACTACTACTACTACTACTACTACTACTACTACTACTACTACTACTACTACTACTACTACTACTACTACTACTACTACTACTACTACTACTACTACTACTACTACTACTACTACTACTACTACTACTACCACTACTACTACCACTACTACTACTACTACTACTACTACTACTACTACTACTACTACCACTACTACTACTACTACTACTACTACTACTACTACTACTACTACTACTATCACGTCGCCGAAGTCGCATCTTTACTACCACAGGCGGCTGTGCAAAGACGGTTTGGGAGAGTTGGTCCACTGTCAGTTGGCAGATGGGCTAAAACAATCGGTGGCCAGGAATCCATATGTCCGCACATGCCTGCATACATAAGAAGCCAACTTACGATATGAAAAACGAGTCAGTTGACTCGATATAGGACATCCGCACCTTACGAGATCTTGAGCATCCTATCTCGATCAGTATACTCTTCGACAAGATTTTGCGACTACCTTCACAGAGTGCCGACTCTTGAGAGCCCTCATACAGCCGGAAAACATTTTGCTCAGTGGTGAGACATTTTAGTGATTTAAATCTTCACAGTAACTTAACCTTGGAAAGTGCGACGTAGTGTTAACAGTGTTCGGATTCGCTGACCAGCGGTGATTTTGAGCGAGAGCTCATTAAAAGATATTCGCTGTCGATGTAAGCTCCCGGCTTTCGAGATTCGATTTCGACACTTCATAGGCGTACTAATCTCTGTGCCCCGTCGAAAAACTGGCTCACGCTCCGATTTCTGAGCCGAAGGGGAGGTTAGACACGCCAGAGCTTTGGCCTAGAATGCTTGCCGTCGTGCGTATTGAGCCATCTGCATGCATCTGCGCGCACATCACCTAATCGCAGTTCCAAAACAAAGCAGACGTCGCCAGCCCTAATCTCAACCCTCCGCCCGACGCCAACGGGCTGGCGCGTGAGGATGAACGCCCGCACCTGGCGGACTACTTCGCGCGCACTTGTGCGATTCCTATTGGTTAAGTTGGCCTGCTAGTCGAGGCTTGACGGCTGGGGCAGAGCGCAGGTAGCAGGGTCTTCTAAACACGAACCGTCTGCGTGCGCAGCAGCGGTAATCGATCGGTGGCAGGAGCTCCTTGCGAGCGCACGCGTTTGACTGAGGCGTTTGCGCATTTGGGGAAACAGGGTGAGAGGAGAGGGGGCTTAATAGTTCAGTTGTTCAGCCCTTTCTCAAGCTGATGATAGAGCCCTTGCCAAACCTCGTTCCCAGCGTTAGCCTGATTAATCGTCTAAATGCACATCAGGTGGCTTTCTGGTAAAAGCGTCTCCGCATACTGGCTCACGGAGCAGTTACCATGCTGACGATAAATTACCCATTGGTAGCCGAACATGAATGTCGGTTGACCACGTTAGATTTGGAAAATGCCATCGTGTCCGGAAAAACTGCCTGCCTGCTGATAATCCTCAGTGGCGGCCCCACGATCCCTGTGGTCGACAGGTAGTTCAGAATGTAGCTTGCAAAGTTGGGCGGTAGTAGTAGTAGTAGTAGTAGTAGTAGTAGTAGTAGTAGTAGTAGTAGTAGTAGTAGTAGTAGTAGTAGTAGTAGTAGTAGTAGTAGTAGTAGTAGTAGTAGTAGTAGTAGTAGTAGTAGTAGTAGTAGTAGTAGTAGCAGCAGCAGCAGCAGCAGCAGCAGCAGCAGCAGCAGTAGTAGTAGTAGAAGAAGAAGAAGAAAATTGGCTCTCCGGAACAGGTTTATTTAACTGCTGACGTTTCAAAGAGCTGGGTCGGCTCTTCATTGTCAAAGCGTAAACTGCACCTAATCGATCAGAAATTTAGTTTAAAGTGGCAAGTTGTGTTGGCCGGCCTCATGCTGATCGATGTTATTCTCTCCTCCCGCTGCGTCGGCCTCTCAGGAGATGGTTGACGGGCGTTTTTGCCTGTGCGCTTTATGAGTCACCACTCCGTCGAGGGGAGCTGATTGGACTTTAGTCGGGCGGTCGGTCTGGCGGTTCTTGTTATTCCTCACCGAGTAAGCTCAGCTTCGGGCTATCTCCGTGCTGCCTTCTTAAGTCAGGTGTGGTTGTTTGGTCCTGAGCTCTACGATTGGGATGACGTAAGACTTTGTAAGCTGCAGGAAGGTCCAGATGCCTGTTGATAGAGTGGGCATCGGAGAACCACGCTTCGAGAGTTAGCCGTTCTGTTTTTGTGTTGCCTCGGCCTAAGATGGTAGCCCTCTGGTGGTCAAAAGTATGCCCCGTTTCTCCAACGTGTGTTGCTAGTTGAGAGTCAGGGTCTAACCTCCGATTGGCCGATTTATGTTCTTGTAGGGAGTTTGCAATTTCCGCCCAGTTTCGCCCACATAGTTGCAGTCACCCTCATTGCAATTTATTTTGTAGATGACTGCTGAGGTTTCAGCGGGTGGCAATGGGTCTTTAGGTTGCATCAGGCGACGTCGAATTGTTGCTTGTGGTCGATGGGCTATGCATACTCTGGTGGGTTGTAACAGTTGTAACAGTTAAATAAACCTGTTCCGGAGAGCCAATTTTCTTCTTCTAATAATCTTCCCGGATCTCTAAACTTTTCCAATCTGAGTAGTAGTAGTAGTAGTAGTAGTAGTAGTAGTAGTAGTAGTAGTAGTAGTAGTAGTAGTAGTAGTAGTAGTAGTAGTAG